GACTTGGTTTTACAAGCAAGAATGCAAAAGAATGTTCTTGCACAGTTGTGTTATTGGCATGTAAAACAGTTATAGGTTTCAGAAGTCAGGCCCAGTTATCACAGATTGCTGGTCATAGGTTGACACGAAATGGGAATGTGGCGGAAACAAGAGGAATTCTCATTCAAGGTCAATCTGCTCTTTGTTAGGACATGACAAAACAAAATTAAAACAGTTTAAGCCATGTGTCATTATAGCATTTCTCCTTTTTTTGTCCCTTTATTTTCTTTAGACAATTTTCTTTCCTGGTTGAAACATTCTGATAAACTAAGCAAACAACAGAAACTTAAAGTATTATAGAATTAGAGCTTTATATTTGCAAATAAAATGTCAAATGTAAAAGAAATATTGGTGTAGGTAAGCTTTTGAAGTATTTATAGGATGAGAGTAACTTGTGAGTCTCGCATCTCCTAGACTTGCCAAGCAACTTTTAAGGAAACCACAGTATAAGGCACATTTTAAAGTCCTGTTTTGTCGATCTCATTTTGGAGGAGGCTGCATCAAGATCCTAAAGTAGCATAAATGAACAAGCCATATTAATTTACATATCAAACAGCTGAATCTGGTTTAGGAATGAGGCATCTTCCTCATTTGAGAAACTGAAGTTATTACCATTTCTCTCCTGATTTGGTGTTTGATATGTGTATACAAAATATTTATATTTCCAATGCTGTATATATTTCCAATGCACAGTATAGAAAATTAAAGGCCAAAAACATAGTGAGAAAATACTCTGCAATGTTTTTCATCAGAATAGCAAAATAGCAAAGGAGGCTCAGCATATGAGCTACTGATAAAACATCTTGATGGCAGGCAGTGAAACTGCAGCCTGACAAATCAACTTTAGCTCCACTGAGGTACTGGAAATGTGTTTTCAGTGTCTGGGATGAGTTTTCCTGGAGTCTGTGTGATTCTGTGTTATTATATATCAACACCAGCCATTCATACTTCTCTGAGTCGAGTTAAGTGGGATATACATGCTGCCTTCAGATTTGGGAGTAGCTTTACATACTCTGTGCATATAAATGAGAAAGTTACTGAATTTTCAGTAACAGTTTCAGACAAAAACAAAGGGATTATGAAAAAAAATGGGGAAGTCTATCCAGCAGCTGAGCAGACCTTGATTTCATGGTGCACTAATAGAGGAATTGCTCTAGGGATAAATAAATGGACTTTAGCCCTGAGAAATGTTATTTTCTTTAATGATAAAAAAATTAAAGAGATCAGCTAAAACTCAATATTTGCTTTGTGTTGCAGGAGGCAAGTTTTTCTCTGAAACTTGTCCTGCATCTGTAAAGCTCTGTGTATGTCTGTGATTTTGCAGAAATAGAAATGGATCAGTTTGCACTGCTGCATGAGTAGAGAGAGGATTCAAGGACAGTTCTGCCTATGGACACCTTGATCATAAGGAGATCCTAGTTTTCAGCCCTTCAGGTCAAGAGCAACAGTCTGCTCCTTAGTCTCTAGCTTACGTTGCACCAACCTCACATTCCTATTCTGTCTCTGAAAGGCAAGTATCTTCTTAGAAAACAGCCGTATCACCCCTCTGACATGCTCGGCGATTCCTAGCAACAACCGAGCCCGGCAGCAATTCACAACAGTGATAATGTAGAGCACATTAAGTGGGTATGTGCAAGGTCCTGGAGCATTTTGCACTTGCAGTCAGCTTATCTCACTCTGCAATCATCAGTAACTTTCAAATATTGCTTTTCTATCTCGGTTAGCAGAAGTGAGCTCAGTACCATTCGCATACAAATCAGTGGCAGTTTCAGATGTTTCCCAGAAGAAATTTACGGCTCTGTATGGACCCTTGAGGTAATTTTTAACCTCTGGGAGAGGCATCCTGGCATCGAGTTCACAGCAGTACTAGCCTATACACAGATGGGGGGGGTGCAATTTGAAGGCAGTAGGAAACACAATCTGCTTTCTTCTCTGAGACACAGGGGATCAACTACTTTTGTTAACGCTGTGATTCTTTCTTAAATTGCTATTATTTAGTCTTTGAAAATTATGGGCCTCGCCTGGTACCTGCAGCTGCAAACCAACCCACTGAATCAAGGGCTTTGAAGTGCAAATGTTGCAGACAGCCAAATGTCAGCTGCCTGGAAACATCCCACATGGAAGGATTTGGGAGCACCCTTGACTGTTTTCATTTCAATGGGAAGGCCTTTAAATGAAAAAATATACTTCTGTTTCAGCTGTGGAAAAAAAAGCCAGCAGGTGCAGAACTTATCACTCCCACCTGTGCTCTCACGGAAGAGGATTTAAGCATTGCATCATGGACAATTAACACAACCACATAACTTTGGGTGGTATTCTTTTCTCCTGGATGAAAAATGAACACCGTTCTATTTTCAAAAAAGTTTTAGGGTAGGAAAGCTAGGCAATTCAGTCTAGATTTTATTTGTATTTTTAATGTGAATAAAATGGCAAAAAGTTCTAAGTCGAGGTCGTTTAAAAGCCACTTCAAGCTTCCATCAGAAGGTCATTGCCTGGTGGTGGCAATGACAGTTGCTCTTCTGCCCTTATTTCTGGGTGAGACAAAGTGCATTGAGGAGAAATTTCACCCTTTGAGCTCAATAGTTGGGTTGAACACACAGCATCTTACGGCTGGGCATTCTGAGTGCTAATCCAGTGCTGGTTGCTACCTGTCAGGAATTAAAAATGCATTTTCCATGGGTTACTTCAAAAGATTTTTCCATTCATGAAAATTTAACACCTCCTTGTTTACATGTAGTACTATAGAGAGTAACTGTGTACAGTTACAGACCATGAGCGTTAACACTCTTGTTCCAGCCAGTGTTCTTCAGAGCAGATAGAATGATTATTAATTAAAATTTTAAATATCAGAGCAATGCATGCAGTGTAAGAACAGACAAATGGCTTCACAAATAAATATGCAATCATCATCAGATGCAGTTTTTGCAAGGTGACATCTGTGACCAAGGAGATTTCGATCACAGAAACCGTCTTCACAGCATAGTTTCTCCATCTAAGCTTTCCTTCCCCCTTTTCTGGCTGCCTCCACCCACATGTTAAAATATGACATCTCTTTCCTTGTACATTAGTTTGTGGAATACAGAGGGAGAATTCAGGAGTCTAAAGGAGGGCTGAATTAAATTATTTTCATATATTTTAGTAATTGTGTTTCATTTCTGAAAACAGTACCTGCCTCACTTGGCAGGGGAACTGTGTTTAGTTCTCTCCAAATGAACGTTTCCATGCTCTGTGCACTTCAGTCTGGGTCTGAAGGGGCCAGAGATGGGAAGAAAACCAGTTCATGACACAGTTCTTACACCTTGCAGCATTTTGCACTGAGGAACCCTCGTCAGTTGGCAGTTTCAGACAGTATTAGATACTGCCATATTTGGAACATGGGATCCTTCATCACTGATTATTTTTATGTGTTGCACTGTTATTTTTTGACAAGGTTATGGGGTTTTTTTTGATGGAGTCCTTTGAATTCCAGTTTGGCAATGAATGGAGGCACCCTCAGCAAAGTGCAGTTGGAAAGACTTAAACCACGCCTTGTCGCATTGCTAATTAAAATAGCCCTTACGTTTTTTCTAAGGGTTTTCTGGTAGCACTGTCTGTGGTAGCAAGTAAAACTGATTTATTAATATTTGTGATCTAAACTCTTCCTCCTGGAAGCTTTTTTCTTTCACCTTCTCCTGTCAGAACATCACCAAGAGTGCCAATTTGTCACAATAAAACAGCATGGCTAGAAGCTCTTTCTAATTCATTGAAATCCATTTGCAAGCATCTGTTTTGAATGGAACAGCAACCGAAAACACACAGCTGATTCACTAAGCAAAACGTCTAGCCTTTGTGAACTGCTGGAACTCTTGAAATAGTTACAAGTTAAGTGTTCTTAAAATTACAAAAAAAAGTGAAAGATACAGAATTGGCACAAGTTTGTTGGAAATACTTCACCTTGTCCAGGTGTTGGGCATTTGGAAGTTTGATTTTTCGGTATCCCAAGAAAGATGATGCTTTAAAGCCTTCTGCTTCTTTGAAGAGAAGGCATTCAGGCATTAAAGTTAAATTACTAAGCACTGAGTGTCTTGCAAGGGAACCATTGTTGACTCTCCTTGGCATGAAAAGCAAATAGAGGTGAGGATGTAATGTCCAGGAATGAGTGTTAACAGAGTGCTAACCTCCAGGAATGGATGCTTAGTACCACTGTGTGTGCAATGCATGTAGTAGGTAGTATCAGAGGTCAACAGCAATGTTAGCAGCCCTCTCCAGCAGTAACCTCATCTGCAGGTCTACAAAGGAGATCGATGAAGGACCCTTTCTGGCACAGACTCTGCATGAGAACCAGATTATCTTTAGACCTCTGGGCTTAAAATGCCATTGCTTTTCACCCTCATCATGTAGACAGCTTTGGGGAGATGTCAGATCTAGCTGGTTGGCTGGCAAGTGGCAGCCGTACTGCGTACAGGAATAGGAAAGCATCCACATGCTGCTCAGAGAAGTTAAGAGCGTACGGCAGTACAAAAGACAGTCTGTTCCTTCTTAAATTCATTGTCTCATTTACCTTCAGTATTTACATACACACATGTGTTTGGTATTTGAGTAACAGACATAGCCCTCCTCTGGTTCTTTATACCTTTTAAAATTGTGTCATATAAGAGGATTGGGCTGAATTAAGGCACATGGACAAATGGCAGTCGGAGGCAGTTGTACTCCATGGCTTTCTGCAGTTGTGGTCCACAATCCTCATGGTTAGTCAGTGTTATTCATGGTGGTTATTTGTGACTTCTATAATAAAGCAGTGAACAGATTCAGTAAACAAATTAGATGTAGTCATTGTTTCTGTCAAGGAGGTTTTTGAGCTTTGTGCGAAAGCAAGGAAGTAGTAGAAAAGAATCTGTTAGGATATGATTCTCTCAAGTTAGTCTATGATGAAAAACAAGGGTTTATGCTGTAATTGCAACCATTCTGATTGTACCTTGCAGTGAGCCACCTCTATGGATTTGGACTGATGGATGCTGAAGCAATGGTGATAGAAGCAGAAAAGTGGACAACGGTCCCTCCACAGCACGTGTGTGTGGAGAACACGGATCGTCAAATCAAGTAATACCCACTGCCAAAACTCTTGCTGGCATAAACTTATGGAAAGAAATTGGGTATAATTTACCCCTCCCTTGCATTGTGCATAATGTGTCATTTTGAAAGTTATACTGGGAATGTCTGTCACCTTCACAGATGTCAGGTCATTTGCCTGTAAAGGTTGCTTCCTGGACTGCTTGGGAAGAGACCCTAGTTTAAAGAAAGCCCCAGAAGTTGAAGGTGTAAAACAAGCCAGGCTGGATAATGATTGATTCTCTTATAGATGATGCACTGAAGAAGAATGTTTGGTTGAGTGCACTGCAGTCACCTTTGTAAGATGAGTACAGACTTATCAGTCCTGGATCTAACAAGCAAATACTCTTTTCATTAAAATACTGCGTGATATTATCTCTCTCAGACAATCTCAGGAGAGTCTCTAGCTCAGATGCTAAGACTAAACTGCTTTCTGCTTGCTAGGATAGGGCCTCTATAGAGCCATGTTTAAGAGCAAAATTCTGTGTATGCATCTTCTGGATACAGAGACCCTGTCAGTCATAAGCATTAAGATTATTGTTTGATAAATATGCTTGACAGACTCAATCCATAACTGGTACAGTCTGCAAGGGTGTTGTGCCAATTTAAACCAGCTGAGTCAGATGCCATTTGGTACAGTTAACATGTAATACTTGCTATTACGTAAGCAAGGACCATGGCTATGCCTGGCATTTCCTGGGGCTTAACAACCAGCTGTGATCTCGTGACAATCCCAACAATTCTCAGCTGGCCACTAATCCACAAAAATGCTCTGTCCCTAAGGCTTATTCCTATTACAGGTTTTTCACTGTCCTCTTTTTGCGTGTTTATATGCTTAACAGAAAGCTAGGTAGTTGCCATTAGCTGCAGTAAAATCATTATCTAGTGGTGATAGTTTCAGCTAGGATTTTTAAGCCCAGTTAAAACTAAGGGTTATAGGCTACTGACTTCTCAGAAACAATTGTCAACGCTGTCATTCACTACTAAGCAAAAAACGTGGTTTTCTTATTTTACAGAAGAAGCAAGAAATACTGATGTTGTTTATATGCTTATATTATAGAACAATACGACCTGACAACGTTGTCCGTTCAATTTACAAAGCCACTGGCTGTTCAGATAATCCTAACCACCACGTGATCTACTTGGAGCATGTCGTTGTTCGCATCACTATTACTCACCCTCGACGTGGAGACTTGGCAATTTACCTAACCTCTCCTTCTGGAACTAGGTCACAGCTCTTGGCCAACAGGTATAGTATGAGAACGCAACTTCACAGTCCAGTCAGCATGCAGAGCTTGCGCTCTGATTGCAGCATCAGCAGAGAACATTCCAGTTTTTACAGTACATTCGCTGGCAGACACAGGCTGATTATCTTTTCTGAGCAAGGTGGGGAGAGTGAAGTGCAAATGAACTGAAGATGGCAATCGCCATCTTTAAAATCAGTCAGTTTCAATAGTCTTGTGTGGCTCATCCATTATTACATGGCTAGAAATGCGAAGAAAATAGTAACCGGCTCAGTGTTCCTGAAGGAAGCTGGAAAGAATTGTGTTTCTACGTACCACTGGCACTTATTTTTCATTTTTCTCCTTTCTTATCCTTTGTTCACTACTAATAAAAATCAGACAGAATAGTAATTCTCTACTACCAGTGTTTTCAAGCTTTGCAAATATGGTTATAATTCTTGATGTGTATCTGTATGCTTTTTTAACCTCTTGCATATTGAAGTAGTATGCCCAGTCTGTGAAAGTAGGACAGTGCTGAGAAGTTGCACTAGCACTTTGAAATGAATGGGTCCATTTGAAAACAGCATATCAAAATTTTTAAAAGTCAGCCATTTCCTTCATCCCACAGATCTGTGATGGATGCTCACTTTTGAACATCTGGCCACTCTGTGACCCTGCATCAAATCATCTTTTTCTCCAGACTGGACTCAAACCAGTATCTCTTTATCCATGCAGCATTTCCAACATTAGTGCAATTTTAGTCTCTGGAGATGAGGTGCATCATTAGTATTTCTGCCCAGCAAATTGAAAGACTTCCCAGTGATATTTCTATTTCTCTGGTACAAGAGCAGAAATTTTCTTGGAAGAAAACATTGGCAGTCCTTCCCAGATAAATCTTGCTAAATCAGTAATCAAGAGCACTGCCTCCTACCATAGATGGTTAAAGCACTCAGAAACCCCAGAAACCTTATCAAACTTTACCCCATTTCCAAATGTGCGAATAAGTTAACAGTTAAAATAAGAAATGCTTCTATACCTCTCCAAGTGGCTAGAAACCCCTCTTTCTGATGGGACCATAGTGTGATAGGGAAATTTTTTTCTTTGTTGACTAGCAGATTTAGGGGACTGTCACTCTGCCTGACACAGAGCATGGATCCCAGAAAAAAGTTGATGTTAGCTGATGCTGTGTATCTCAGAAACTGCAAAAGCTGCCATGTGTCAAACCTATGTTGTGAGAACTCTCTGCCGTCACAGTCAAGTCTTCACGAAAGCTTATATCCCCAGTCCTACTCTTCAGCCCTTTTAATGGATTGGGAGTGGCCTGCGTTCCCGACTGCCTTATCATACACATTCCCCCACCCAGCAGATACTGTGACTGTCTAGCCCTGGAGGCTTGCATGTCTTCCTGTCCTTCAGGGTTAGAAGGAGTTATCTTTCTTCTTGAAAGGAAGAACCTGTTTTGAAGACAGGTGGAGCTCAAATGGACTTGATTCTGATGAAGTGTGAACCCCCATATTCAATAGAGATTAAGTTAATTTAAAAGAAAAGGTATACTGAGAATACTCCTCAAGCTGTGGACATTAATTCATCAAAGTGGAGAGAAGGTTCTTCCTGAATTTTGGGGCCCTCTATAGTATCTCCTGTGTTTCTTTACGAGCGATGTCAGTGTCTTGCTGGTAAATTACATGGGCACACACATCTGTGTATCTCCCTGCTACACTGAACAAGGAAGAGAATTTGTCCTCTGCTAGCCAGCGCAGAGGCAGACTACTACCCTCTAAGCAGTTATGAAACAGGCTTTTGTTTTTCTGTTTAAAGAAATGCTTCCTTCCTTTTGTATTCCATTGTTATGCAGCAGTTCTTCCATGCTTTGAAATGAAAAAAATTAGAAGTCCTCCAACTAGGTATCCAAACAAAACAATCTCGTGTAAACCCAGTGGTCTTAACACAGCTAACTTTTGGCTGTAGGCTTTCATGTCTTGCAGCTGACTCACAGCAAGTGGGAGATAAAGACATTCCAGTATTCACAGTTCACCTCTGGTGATGAGTGGTATGTGGAATAGGTACAAAGTTTCATTCAATCAGCCTCTTTAAAATCCCTGCACCTTAGAAAGTAATTATTTTCTGTACCTGTGGTAGAGAGAGAGAACGCAAATGTATATTAAAATAAAGTGATGTTTGGCTGTATCTTATCCTGTATGATCAGAAGGCTAACCTGAAAACAAAGCAGCCTGAAAGGCCTTTAAATGTTTTGCCACTTTCCAAAAAGCAGATTGTTCATGACAGAGCAAATACTCATATAGTCGCACCAGAAATTCCCCTTGTAGGCAGGCTGCAGGGGTACACTGATTGCCAGTCGCATGTGGCTGAAGGGAACAACTCTGGGCTAAAAATATTAAGGAACAAAGGTATTTTGCAGACTTGAGGTCTGAAATACTTAGTGTCTTCAGAAGTCCTTTTTTAGCGTAAAGTGATGCGTATGGGCATGGTACATTTCAAAATGGTGTTTCGGGGCTTGTTTTATTTGGTATTGCTGGAAGAAGTCTTACAATGTAGCAGTCTTGCAATTAGTAGTATACTGAGTGTTGTTGCATGTATATGATTGAGCATCATGCTGTAAAATACAGCTCAGTGCAGGAGTGTTGTTATTCACTAGTATGAGAATTTACTTATGAGGCATTTGATTTTTAAACTATTATTGGTTATATGGTCAGAATAAATGTATTCAAGTACAAGTAGCATGTAGGGATGCCTTGGCAGCAAGCAGTTTGAGGTTTTTTTGTATAGGCAAAGGTCCCAGAGGCTGTTGTATATTGCTACTACCTGACTGAGACGCTTTTCTGAGACATACAAGACCTTTTAATGCACACATACATGATTAATAGCAGCAAAACCAGCTGTTTTTACTGAACCCAAGGAAAACCTCACTGCTTTACCATTACTCATCTGGGTTTAATTTGAAACAGTTTGCTGGTAAACTGTCTTAAAGTGCAAAAGGTATATTTTACACGTGCACTCCTTCTCTACCAATTCTGGAAGAAGAGTCATTGTATAGTTTCTGGTGCATTGACGAGTAGGTCCCTCAAGGCAGTATCTGGCTTTTTGTCTGCATATTTTATCCTTAATGTTGGCACCCCCTAAAATTACTTCAGTAAGAAAACTTGTTCATCAGAGGCAATGTGGATTCCTTTGCAGGCATTTGGTGGATTACACTGTCACTGGCTTGAGCCTCATGTGCATTCTTCAGAAACTACATTACAGGGAACATCTGCTTTGTTGTTTGGAAAGTACTAAACATGATTACATTGGATGTACTGCAGCAGAGGAAAATACAGGCTTGGAAAGTGCTGGCTGGTGTGAGGATGAGGCTACAGTTAAGTCCAAAGGGGAACAGTATCCCCTTTTTAAAAACAGTTGGCCATTGGATTTGGCAGCATGGGTTTCTGAGTGTTTTTCAGATGTACCAAGGTCGGTTCTAACAGACATTCAGTAAAGGGGGGCTATGGAGGAGAAGCTAAATACAAAGAGGATAGAAGAAGCAAACTTAGGGCTTGTTTGTCTCCCACTGAAGTCCTGGCTTGTTTAATTCTTGCCCTTTAAATCTAAAGCAGCTGCTGCCATTCGAACTGCGTAACTGAAATTTTTTAGCCACGTGGTGGCAAGTTTCCAGGCCACTAGCTTCCTATGCTTATATGGCACTGACATTAATAATACCTCTGTTCAGTAACAAAGGGAAGTATTTTCATGACCATCTTTTTCCTATCATGAAACCTTAGATAATCAGTAAATTTTAATAATACCCTCCTCTGCAGGAAACTCTTAGATGAAAACCAAGGTATTCTCATCTAATCTTACTTGCTAGTTTGCTTCATAAAAAGTCTTGGTGATCAGAAGTAGAGGAAGCCTTTTCTTTATAAGAGCACATTTTGATTTCTAGACCAGTCAGTCTTACATGCTTTTTGCAGTTTACACATTATACTCTAATAACAAAACCAACATTTTATGTGTCCAAATACGATGAAAAGCACAGGGCCAACCTTCACGCTGAGTCTCGCTGTTACAGTAACTGAGAAGGAGTCTGTGGTGGTATTATTAAGTCCAGGATGAGCAAATAATAATCCTCTGCTTGTACTATGTCTACAGGATGAAGCAGTTCTCCATTCTCCCAGCTCCTATTTGCTGTTTTGTTTCATTCAGGTTGTTTATATCTGGGTTTTTTTGGTGGGAGGGGACATAAATACTACCCTTCAACCACCCTTTCTTTGAACTGCAATTGCAATGTTGATACCTGTAAAAATCCTTTTTTTCGTTATAACCTAGCCAAAAAAAAAACCCTACTTTTTTTTTTTTAATCAAAGTGAGGAAAAATACTGTTGATTTACTGAGCTCTGCAGAGAAAACTAATAGGATTTACGTGCAGAAGAGTAAATGACTGCACATAAGTGACACTATCCTACATGTAATTCAGTACCTCAGGTTCACTTTTAGTGGAAAATTAGAACCAGCCCTTAGAAGTTTGACTTTATTTTCCATAGTCAAAGTGGGAGTGAAGACAAGTGGCTAAGGACATATTTAGGATCCAGCTAAATGTCTCAGTTTCTGAGGTTTGTATTGATCCGGGTAGAAACGAGAGAACTATTTAAGACAGAGAATTCCTGGGATTTCTACTTCCTGCAGATTAAGCTTGCCCCAGCTACTATAGTGAGAATGACTTAGTTTTTTCCTAGCCTTATGAAACACCCCCACCTTGGTCTTACTATAACACTTACTACATTGAGTTTCACTTGGGATAAACTGGATTGTGTGATAGACAGTCTGTCCCCTACTGTCCTTAGCCTAATCAGGTGTCCCTTTTCAAACCTAGGACAGGGTAGGAAAAGTCTGTGTATATGGCACCAGGTTCATTCATGCTCTTGCATTAGAATCATAGAATCACAGAATGGGTTGGGTTGGAAGGGACCTTAAAGACCATCTAGTTCCAACCCCCCTACCATGGGCAGGGACACCTTCCACTAGACCAGGTTGCTCAAAGCCTCATCCAGCCTGGCCTTGAAGACAGGATTGTCTTCAAGGATTTCTGCCTATATAGAGGGAGGTTTCTGGAGATTTGTTTCAAATTCAGTAGGAAAGCACATGCAGCTTTTAAGAAGACAGCTTTAAGTATCAGCCACACAGCTGGCTGACTAGTGTGGTGTGGGGACCTCAGCAGCCTGACATGTCTGTAGCTCATGATGGATAGTCCCAGGGGACAAGCTCTCCATATTTGAAGGTGGTGGTTTCTGTACTATCCACCACTTCAGGCTAACAGGCACTGTACCTACTCTTCATGCTACTCTTTGCCAAACAACTTTTCTCATGATAGCTCAGTGATCTCCATCGCTTCATTAAATTAATTGTGATAACCAGATGTAAAATGGAAATTAAAAAGAAAACATGCAGAATTTTTAAGTGATCTTCCCTGACCCTGTAGGTGAGAAAGCTTCTGAAGTGCCTGTGTGCTCTCTGACCATTTCTTTTTGTCCTGACTTCAGTGAGCACTAGGTTCTGGCTGAAGCTTTGATTCGGTGAGTTTGGGATATCTGCAGTTCTTCAAGGGCAGCATCTCAGAGGGAGCTGGTCGTTGAACCCTGTGAAGAAGAGCTTCTCTAAGGAAATAGTTTACCAAAGCATTTTTCAGGTGTACGACTCGGGGAGGCACCCTGTACTCGTTTGAAACTGTAATACTTCACTGGAAGTCTTGTGGCCAATTAGACTAGTGGGCAAGGACCGCTTGCCTGTCAGGTTGCCAGTTTAGTAGGCTGGAGCACATGATAAACAAAGACTGCTACTACAGAGGAGGTGGACTGCTCTTGCCCCCTACTCCACTGTAGCCCCAGCCACTGGGCAGTGCAGGGCTTCCTGGCACTCGTTGTGGTCAGTTCAGTATATAATCATGGCTGTCCGTGAGTACAGACCATCAGATGTGTACAACAAACACGTACAGACAGCCTCAAAGTCACTATCTTTCTACTTGTTTTTGTTTAATTGCTCTTTTGATCTCTCTGTAACTTTTTGACTCGTTTGTAGAATCTTTTGTAGAAACACATTTCATACGTTGAAAAAATCCAATTTAAACCTTTCTTTATCAGATTCAAATCTTTCCCAAAGAAGTATTCTTTCCAAAAGCTAGTCAAATTAGTATTAAAGTATATTAACAGATTTTCCTCACTTCCATGGATGGAGATATGAAAGCTTACAGTTTTCAGCCACAACATACTTTAAGTAAAGGTGGTTTTATATACCTATGATAAAGTCATAAGGGATTTTTGTCTCTTCCAAAATTACTTACAAGAATAATGCAGTATTGAAATGGAAATCTGAGAGCAATTTAAAGTTCCAAAGCATGACAACTAAACACCCTTAAACAAAAAATACTATGGGAAATATTGGACTAATTACAGTAAAAATAAACAGCACCTTGTGTTTCCACGTATGTGAGTGGAACCCCAGTGAATGTAGAATTTACAGTGTAATTACATAGTACTTACATAATACTATATAATTTAGTTGCCACAATGGCAAAGAGGAATATTGCTGCCTTGGTGATTGACAGAGTGTTTAGAAAGTAATACATCAGTTATCAGCAAAACACAGTATGACAATTTGACTAACTGTTGGAAATAACCTACATAATGACTTAAATTGAACATACCCAGATGCAAAGACTGGGTAGTAACTGCTTAATAATTTCTACCTTTTCAGTAAATGGTGTGTGCCTTGTGTTTGTGAGATTTGCTGTATTCAAACAACGGGTGTAACAGTGACACGAAACAGGCCAATTCTGCTGGCAGAGTATATATGTATACACATATAGACACACACAGAGGTGCAGAACTGCATGAGAAGAAAATCTTACCCAATTATCAGTGAAAATGAAACCTAATTGTAAATACATATCTATATTTTAATTTAATTTTATCAACACTAATAAAAAAGGGCACTATTATACTACGATATAGAGAACAACTCGTTTAAAATGGAAAATGATTGCACAAATGACAGCGTGAAAATCAGCTTTGGGCTGGGTTTGTAAAGTGCCATGTGTGGACATGCCATATTTTTGACTGACCAAAGTTTTCATCAAGAAGTATGGCATTTTATTCACAGCCTGTGTGCCAGAAATTGACACATACTCACATTGCTACTATAATATCCTGCTTTCCCAATGTTTGCTGAACTTCACAACCTTTTGAGACTAAAGCTTGAAGTTAGCATAGAAAATAAGAGTAAAGAGTCAAGTCAGTGTAGAATACTGTAATATTTTTGTACTCTAATGCTAGATATTTCTCTATTTTATGGAAAAGGGTTTAAAATATGTTAGATTTTCTACTGTAGAGATCTTGTTTTATGAAAAATATTATTTTCATAGTTATTATCAGTGGAACTTTCACACATAAAGACCAAATTAAAATACTGATAAATACATACATGCATCTATATGCATGTATATGCATACATATAAATAGATCTACATACATATATGTATGTATAGAGGCATGTATCTGTATAGAATTATATACATATGTATATATGGGGTTGTGTATCTATACGTATATGTATTTGTTAAAGCTGAGCTGTGCCATTTTATTGGAGGCAACAGTCTTGACTGGATTGCACCTCCCATCAATAGCTTTGAGGTACCAGGCAACACGCTGTGAGTATTAAATAAAAGTGCAAATTCTCATGTGACTTTCCAAAATCACATTAATAAATTCCAGTTTCAGGTAATAAAATCTCTGGCCAGTCCTCCTTCCCCTTGCACCATGGTATTAGCATCACATTGCAGCCTCTGAACTGGGCCCCCGTACTAGAAATTAATCATAATCCAGGCCTAAGCTCCAACCTGTTCACCCAAGACCTAGGTAATTAAATTATGGTAATGGTGTTGGCTGGATGAAACCATCAGATGCCGTTAGTGTCAGTTTTACCTGAACTCAATTCTGCCAAGTGATTGAAGAGAGTGATATCTTGGTCATTTGAGGATTGAGACCAATGTCTCAGTTACATTTTATTTCCTCACAAGAAGTCACACACCTTGAATTGCTAGTATTGTCTGAGTCACTTGATACTTTTAATTGTTTTTAAAACCCTTTTAATTATTCCAATCCAAAGCCAAAAATAAATTTTACAGAAATTTTCCAACTTATGAGTTGTTTGTATTTACATCGTGCTAAACGTGCTATTTACAGCATGTTAAAGCAACATGCTGTTAAATCAACAGCAGTATTGTATGCCTTTTTCCCAAGATACATGAATCCAATTAAACAGTATTAGCAATTTTTTTTTTTTAATGAATTCTCTTTCCATTCTTTTTCACATTATGACAAATGATGGCATGTAAACAATCTCTTCCATCAAAACAAGAAGCTGCTGAACGTACCTGAAGTACATGTGGGAAAAACATCATGAGTAACTATGTAAAGGCACAGATGAATGAACTGGCTAATTAGTATATCATTGAAGAGTTTGCAGACTTGGCGGCTTAGTTCCCCAGATAAAATGCTTCACCTAAAATAATGTCATGATTTATTTTAGGCTCTTCGATCATTCGATGGAAGGATTCAAAAACTGGGAGTTCATGACTACTCACTGCTGGAGTGAAAAAGCAGCAGGTGACTGGATGTTGGAAATCTGTGACACTCCGTCTCAGCTGAGAAATTTCAAGACTCCAGGTATGAGTCTAACCTTTATTTGGGCTCAGTAAACTCAGAAGAATGCTTGCAGTTGCTAATACTGCCTTGACTGCTTTCCAGCTTTTATTTACAGCTTGGACATCTCACCAGTTTTAGTGTGAAGGCAGAGCTGTAAAGAGTGTTAATCTTAATTTCAGTTATCAATGCACTCTTCATTTTTATGTTGCTGTTATTTGTGATTTAAGACACACGGTTCTCTTTTATTCTGAACTTACTTCTGGTTTTAACATAAAATTTCATCTTCTGAGGGGTAAACTGCCCACTTTCTTGCAGTCACATATGTTGCCTCAATGTATAAAAAGATACTTCGGCCATTTAGAGCTGCATCATCCCAGACGTGAGTTCTTCAAAAAGAGACAGACCATTGTACCATCAGTTTACTGAGAGTCAGTGCTTTAAGCAAAGCCAAATCTTTAATGGGCATAGTTTTCAAGGAAAAAGATACAAAACTGCATGAAACTATATGTGCCACATTGGAAAGACCTTATAGTATCTCCATATTCAGGCATTTGTTCTCTTGGATGTTAAACATAGATTTATCAGACAAGTCTTCAACATAGAGCAGCCTGGAGTTAGTCTGCTGTATTCGTATTGCCTGTGACATTCATGGCTTCTATAGGGCCTATATTTACTTGGCCTCTATCAGCTATATATTGCCCAGTTATGTATTTTAATGTTGTTTTTCTTCGCTTTGTATTTTTTCCTACCTGTACGAAAAAATGGCATTTATCAGTGTTTACATAACTAGAAAATCCCACTATAGAAGAGAAAGAAATTCACACTGCATGTGTTCCTGGGTGTATGGATAGAGTGCTCAGACCTGGCATTTGTCCACTCACAAACTGTGCTCCTAGTAACAATAGTTGAGGTACAGACATTCTTCTGCTTTTAATTCACAGAATCACAGATTGCTAGGAGGTGGAAGGGACCTTTGGAGATCATCGAGTCCAACCCCACTGCCAAAGCATGT